GCCAGCCATGCCAGCCATGCCAGCCATGCCAGCCATGCCAGCCATGCCAGCCATGCCAGCCATGCCAGCCATGCCAGCCATGCCAGCCATGCCAGCCATGCCAGCCATGCCAGCCATGCCAGCCATGCCAGCCATGCCAGCCATGCCAGCCATGCCAGCCATGCCAGCCATGCCAGCCATGCCAGCCATGCCAGCCATGCCACCCATGCCACCCATGCCATCCATGCCACCCATGCCATTGCATACATGTTGATATCTAAAAAGCCAACACATCGTCATTTCCCCTCTATATTTGCTTGTATGTATTGAAGTGAGAAATACTCTGCTTTCTTGTTTTGAAAATTATTGTTTATAGTCCAGAACTGGATCCTCTTTTATCCTTGCGCGCACGGAGTTGACTGAGTTGAAAACTAATCTAAGCGGCTGCGATCAAGACATTTCTTGCGATAATTTTGTGAAGAATTCCTACCGATTTATCATATCAGATAATGCAGAGAGCTCAGTCTAAACGCAAGAACAAATGCAGATTGTACAAATATAACTGACACGAAAAATTGATGAGCTTCATCGTCCCATCGGTACTAAAAAGTTGATGTAAGCCTTAGCGTAACTTATGAACACAAAATCACATATATGTTTTTCAAGTAAGTCAAGTACTTCAATTTCTTTATCTGAAAATTATATTAGATTAATTGAGAAAGATAAAATGTAAAATTTCAGTAAAATTTCGGATGACTTTGCATTCGTTTCTCATATGCTAGCGCTAAACGAGTGTCTCAATGGGGTGGTACGCATCACGACTCACGGCTAAAAAAATTGGCTATTTCACGACTCACGACTAGTTTTTTCGAATCACGATTAACTAGATTACTTTCAGAAATTTTTGAAATGAAAACAACGTTTTTCATTACTTTTTCAGGTAATTTATTTTGTGCTAGAGAGATAGTGAGTGTGGGAGCACAATGTCCCTTGTACGTTATAGACACTCGGTCATTATAATTTTTTAATCATCACTCCCAAAAATGTCAAATTTTGTCCATGCCCTGACTTGTGTGCGGGACCTTGTTGGTAGGCGCGATCCATAAGAATTTTGAGGGAGGGGGCTGGAAGATTTTGGGAACAAAAACTCCTGCACGGTCCGAAGGGAAAATTCTCCACTAAAGCTTTTATTTAAATTTACTACGCGCGCCTGGAGTTGACAGTCCTTCTGAGGAACAATATTGAATCACGGCTTACGCTACTAAAAAATATTCACGTCTCACGGCTAATTTTTTTATCATTTTCACGACTCACGGCTATTTATTCATTGAGACCCTCCTAAACAAATGCCGAACGGAGAAAGAACTAAAATTGCTAAGATCAAACTATTCAGCTTTTGCTTAGTTCGTACCTTAGGTTGCTTCTTGAACTGGAACAGCTGAAAATGTTCTGGATAATCGTTGTTGTTGCCGTATCGATATTAAGATAAACAACCCAAAAGCTTGATAGTTTTCGAGTCTTCAACAGGGCAGTAAGCTTATTGATTTGTAATTTTCTGGTCATTAGAAAATAAAAAAACATTTTCAAAAGTCCAATGTATGATTTGAATCGATTTTGTTGCTTCTTCTATCCAGTGAAGCTCGTTGGTCTTCAGAATATATACACTGCTTAGTTTTTCCTTGTCTCTTGAAGAAATGCTACATCTATAGCTGTAGGGTGTGCAAACGCGTCTCTAAAATTGACCGGAATATTTCAGCGAGTTTTTTTTTTTATTTTTGTTTGTTCCTTGTTTTCAGTTTGTATTTTTCTCGACGGCGATTTTTCTCATTGTCTTGATGATATGAAGTTAGCTTTTAATTTTTATTTGAAAATATGATATATCGAGTAGATTTAAATTCATTGCTTGGACTCCCTGTGGCTGAGAACTGTTCTTTCGATCGATCGTGATTGGATGATGTAGCGCATGCGCTGATAAATTTCTCTGGATCCACTGTTTACACGTGCCCTGCTATGCAGAGGACATGAAGTAAAATGCTGCTTTTTTCTTGGTTTGTATTCGTCAGTTTTTTTCTACGATGTTCAAAGTTTGGCTTCGATACATCTTCGTAACCAA